CTTCGTAGAGAACGACCTCATCTCGGCCGAGATCCCGGAGGTCCGCTACGACGGCTCACTCAGTCTGCACACGCGCAGTCTGCGCTACGGCAAGCTCGAGAACGGCCAGTTCGTGGCCGTGGCGGCCCCATTGGTAAAGAGGATGAAGCAGCACATGGCCACACTCCCAGGCATCGGCATTGACGTGATTCTCGGCACCAATGGGTACATTTGGGTGTCTAGAAGCATGGCCGAGCTCGGAGGGGACGACACGACCAGCAGCATGGAGACACGCGTGGAGGTGCTGACGGCCAAGAGACAGCAACACGCGGCCACGCCCATGAGTGTGGACGACCGCCGGAAGATCGCACGAGTCTCGCAGGCGCTACTGAAGCTAAATGAACAGTTCCGGATGATCACACCCGACAGCATCATGGCCACGTACGAACTGTTAGAAGCGCAAGGTAAATAGATAAATGAACAAGGTTGCTTTACTACGAATGAGGAGTACTTGATGTATTACGGGCCATGGCTAACAGGATCTTAAGACTTAAGTAGAATAGTTGAAGTCGAGCCCAGGGCGAAGTTGTTTTTCATGATTGTTTATAGTAAAGATAAAACTACTATTAACGTTAACATCTTTTTTAATGATATTTTTAAACAGGGGGTACAGTAGCTTCGTTTTCTAAGAAAGCAAAATAATTTAAAATGAGTTTTATTCGAATTTTAAAAAGCAGTATCAAACAGTGCCTAGTGTGTTGAGCACATGTGCCGTACCAGTACCGGTTTTTGCACCACTTTTCGTACGCATTTTAACCCTTTCACTACCAGATATTTTTTAGAGGTCCGCTGCGGACCTCTACCTCGACCACTAAGCCTACAGCAGCAAAACTAAAACAGCCTATGAGACCTCACCATATTCCCACGTGGTTCGTGAATTTGCAGAGGGAAGTCACTCACGGTACTGCTTCATAATTTGAAATTCAAACTGACAGGTAGAGATGGTTAACGGGCTGGGGGCGCTCGAAGGGGTGGAGACGCTGGCGGCGCCGCGACAGACGTGCAGCTACTGCGGGGACACGCCGTGTGAATGGGAGCAGTACGGCAAGTACATCATCGGCAGCAGGCTCCGCATGCTGACAAGAGAGCAGAAGACGCGTTCACCGCGAAGAATCAATAAGGCTCTAGCGCAACTCTATTTTTACAGGAAGTATGGACGCCTGTGCAAGGTGAAGCACATCGAGCTCCCGCTCTGCGTCGACAAGCAAATATCGCGCCTCAACAGTATTGTAATGTACGTATACAGAGCTACTCTCTCTTGGTTACGGCAGGTCAAGCTGATCTAGATACGTAATTGTCTTGTTCTTCTTCAGACGCGTGTGTACATTCGAGTCTCCTGACGTTTTAGCACACACTGCGTACAGTGCTGATCGAGCGTTTGGCGTGTCAGACGTAAGAGCGTCTCGGAAGTGAAATGCGCTGTAGCAGGAGACGTGAAAACCTCGGTGGCACCCTGTGCACCCAAACAGAGCCTTCCTCTTGAACCCACGCAGCGAGCAGAGATAACATGTGAGCCTCCCTTTCGAGTCCTTTCTTGAGTTGGGTGTGATTGCATGAGTGCTGTCGTCAGCTCCCACAATATCTTCGATGGGCTGGTTTGGAGCTGCCTGTTGATGTCGCTCCTTCTGCAGCCGTGTTCGCTGTACATGCGTCAACTTATCCGCTACTCGCCGCTTGAACTCGCAGCGATACACGTGCTGCAGCATCACCTGCCACCTTTCGGAACAGCGAGAATGCGTTGATGAGTGCGAGATCTAGTGCCCACGTAAGGATACTCATGGATAGCCGTCTCTCCTTTCGACGGATCGGGTTGGTGCTCCTTAGTTGATCGACTCGGTCGACCCCGTTCATGAAGAGGTTGTATGCGACGATCATTGCAGGTACCTGGAAGGTTTTGCGGTGCACGACTTGATCTCCTGTCCATCGCTGAAGTGGAGCAAGACCACGACATAGCTGGATCGCCTCCTGCGAGTCACCAAGCAGTACTTCCTGCGACGGAGTACCTGCCAGATCGTTAGTGTAAAAGACCACAGTTTTCTTGTCTCGGAAGACGATGTAGCCTGCGTTTATCGCTGTCGTAGTTGGCGGAACGTACGGCGTCTGTAGATGTGCTGAAAGTTTTTTCTGTGCGCGTTTGTGCTTTTCCTGTTGCTTCTCCCAGTCGGCTGGAACATCGAGAGCCGCGAGAAGCTCCCACGAGCCTCGCTCAGCATGGTCGATTCTGCCCTTTGACGCCTCTAACCGCTCGGCCATCCACTTGCCCTGCAAACCGATTCGGACAGTACCTAGCATCTTCATCTCGCCGTCCGTAAACATTGTGAGCGTCTTGGCTAGATTGTGGCGAGTATAAAAGTTATCGCATACGAGCAAGCGGTGCTGATTCGGCGCTGGGTACGTCTTGGTGAGGTGGCCGCACATCGCCATCCACAACGAGCTAGCATCCTCGCGCTTGATAGCGACGTCTTCACGCTCTATAGTCCTAAACAAGGCGGTTCTGAGCTCAGGAAACGTATCTACGTATCTGTCAGCTGGAGTTGTGTTAGTTCGATTGCCAGAACCATTATCCCACACGGAGTAGGCATAAAGACTCTCCCGGCCAACGACAGCGTAGAAGCGGACGCCATACTTGTCTGGCTTCGACGGCAGGAACGTCCTTGCCGAAGATCGCGCTTTTGTGCGTGCAGTATTCTCATCTAAACACACCGCACCGACCGGGACGGCTATTGCTGCAAACTTCTGCTGAATCTGTCTCATTAGTCGCCGACTGTGCCACAAAGGATCCTGCTCTCGCCGGGTAACAGGCACACTTCCAGGTGCATGCACTTGAAACCTGGCTTGGATATGCTCAAAACGATTTCTCGCCATCGTCGCTACAAAGTCGGATTGCCCCATAAATGGTTTTTGAGACCATAGCTTCTTTGATTTCCGTCACAGGATTGAAGCTCATTGCATCTCTAACCCGATGTAAGCATCCAGCTCACACACAGTCGCCTCACGTTGCCCTTTATCTCTGAGCATCTCGTTAGTCCACATGTGCAACGAGTCC